CTAGCTACAGTTGCTAGCAGCCTATAATGCTGGCTCTGTGTTTAGAAAATGACGGTAATTTATTACAAAGAGACTTTTATTCTAGTATTTTTAGCTTTCAGCCGAGTGTTTAATGAATCTCTGCCTGGGCTCATTGAATTTATGTTCTCCCCTCCCCCACCCCATTTTAACCATTAAGTTATTGCTATTCTTGCTGCAATTCCAGAAGCTGTACTTGGTCTTCAAAATAGCAAACTTAATTCACAAGGTGCTGTGCCCTACTGCAAACAAGATCTGAAGACTTGCTGAAGCAATTAAAGACTAGTTGTGAGTGAGTCTTGTGACCAGGAAAGGCAGCTGAATGGTTGGAAATAGTTCCAAACCAACCAAAATTCATCTGTCTTTGTCCCCCGTGGAAACTGATGTGCTCAAGGGAAGTGAGCTCTTAACCTCACCTACTCTGAAGTGGTTTTGGGAGCTCTTCCAGGGGACAGCCTGGATGCAGGGACCAGTGTTTGCATGAGACAGGAGAGACTATGATACAACTTTTCCTTCTAGTGGAATGGAGTCAGAAATCTGTGACTTGCTTTTTCAGCTATAGCAGTCTTTGCTTTCTGTGGCTTTAGTGAGTACTAGAGAGCAGGAAGGCTTGTCAGAAACCAGACTTACATTACTCAAACAAATTTTAAATGCTTTTCTCAGTTCAGTTGTTGTCACTTCCCAGTCTTTCAAAACAGTTGCATGTGATAGTATTGAGCATTGAACTTTCTGCTGCCCCCAGAAGAACCGATGTTGAGAATAAAAATGTTCATGAGTTCTTCCTGTTCCAGTTTCCTATTGCTGATACTGAAGAATTTTAGCTGGTACCCATTGTGGTTTGGGGCAACTGCAAACAGTTGTGCTTGCCTTTAGCCATGCAAGTTGCTTTAGTCTCAAAATCTTTTCAAAATCATAATACAGGACAGTGAAAAGAGGTAAGCATTTTCAGGCTTTGGTCTCTTCTCTTTGGCAGAAGCAGAGATCTTGACATAAAATGTTTGCTGCTGCCAGTTCTATGATTTTTTTGGAAGAATATTGGATGAGATGGAATCTTGTAATTGACATCTTACTCCTTATGAATGTTGAATATTCTTGGAGGAGTTTAGAAGAGTCTGTTGTTCAGAGCTTTCTCCAATGAAGCATGTTCCACTGATGTCTGGAAATGCTGCTGCAAGAAGAAGCAAAACTGTAATTTGCCTGTATTTTGTTCAAACAGTTGGTTCCTTAGCTGTGTACTGGCCCTTCAGAGCAAATTTTTCTTTTTAAGTAAGTACTCTAGAAATAAAAACTGGTCAGGTTGTACTACAAGAGAAGGCCCATTATATATTTTTTGGTGATACTTTTCTTCTACTCAACAGTTTTCCTTCAAGTAAGTTCTTCACTCAGCTTTAAATGATTCATAAGCCTGCTCTATTTCAGGAGTGGAGATGTTATCCCATGGCAGATTAGACTCATCTCCAGTGAGGCAGCACTTGAGTTTTATTCAAAGACATGAAATTTCCCTTGGACTGATCTTCAGGACCTCACTGGAAGGATATAATTGGTCTTTGTTATTTCTGGGAACAAAAATATTTTCCCTTTGGGTACAGTGCACCAGGCCAATCACACTGGATGAGAAGTAGTGTGTATGTTGGACTGATGATTTTTGTAGGAGTACTGAATCTTGTATGTACTTGAGTTGAAGTAATCTGGGGGTGTAGTAGTTGTGAAAGTGGTGTGTGAAGCTCATAAAGGTTCTAAGATGTATTTGAAAAAAAAATGAAGTTCAAACATTTCAGCCAGACTTTTGAAAGGGGATGAGCAAGCTGTGTTATTACTGATGGCTCTAGATTCCTAACGCTCAAACCTTCCTTAAGTTTAATAAGAAGTGGATTTCTGTCACATGCAAAGTAAACTTGAGTGGATTTCTTTAAATGTAAAGCAAAAAAAATGTTTTAAGGAGTAACTGAGCAATAGATGGGGGGACATCTTTCCTTGTACTGAGATTTTCTGTATGACTCCTTGTATTGCTGAAGTCTGTCCCTGGGAACTGCTGACCCCTTTTATCATTTCTGCACAGTTCTCTGGTTGCTTGTGCAGGTAACACATTAGAGCCTCCTTTAACTGTTCACGTGTTATTTTCGTGAGGCTTTGAAGTTGACTCAGACTGAGACATGTATTTTTTTAGTTTTCCATTAAAATGTTCCCTTGGATGAATAGAAGAAGAGGAGAAGCTGTACCAAACCTGTTCTTGTACTAATGGCTAAAGTTATTTTAAATGTTTGCCGTCCCACTTTCTCTAAGTTAAAGGATTAGCTCTTTAACACTGTAATATGGGGTTATAGTATTTAAATCTTTGGTTACTGTGGCATGGTGTTTCCTTAGAGTAACTGCTGTAGTTTCATGGCAGTGAAACTACACTACTACTGTTTCTTGTGAGTTGTTAAATGTGAAGGCAGAGGACAGCTGTTGGCCAAGATTAAATTAGTTGTGTGTGAAGAAGACTGAATTGCAGGGGAGAGGAGATCAATATTCAAGTAGAAAATAGGTTAATCATATGGGGAGGAGATGAGAAGATGAGCTCTTTCAGAAGACACCTGTACAAGCAAGTATAATGCAAGAAGGTCTTAAAACAAGAAATGCTGAAGTTGATTGTAAAAATTCTTCATAGAAAATATATTTTTATTTTTATGTACAGCTAGATCATGAAGATTTATACTAATTTCAAAAGTAGAAATACTTCAGAAGGGAAATGTGTCTAAAGAATTGAGCACTCTTAAACACTAGGATCTATATAATTCAGTATTAATGTCAGAAAAGCAGCCCTGAGCTGTGTTCACAGGCACATAGTTTGAGTGTGGTGCTCCTGGTGAGATGCCAGGAGTTAAGGAGGGCCCTGGAAGACATGAAAATTGTGAACACAGTTAATGTTGTGGGGCTCTCTTTATCAAATGTGTCAATCTCCACTTCAATGTGTTGTGACTACTGTCATCGTTTAAGGTCATGTTTTCCTGTGATAAGTTTGCTTTAAGGTCTTCATTTTAGTATTCCAAAGGCAAAACCTACAACAGTGAGTAGCCTCACAATCCCAGGGGAGTTACTGCTACATTTGGGTCAGCAGTCCAAAAGAGCTTTGGGCAAACTTATATTCCTTGACTGTCTCCTGTGCCACTGCCACTGTTCCTGTGTGACAGAGGGAGACTGCTGGGTCAGTAAAATGCACTTTCAGCACCGGCTGAGTGATGGGTACCCTAAGGCACAGACCAGGACAGCTGCTGAGTGAAAGTGCTCACTGCTTCCCAGGCAGCAGACAGTGCTGGTGTCACTGTTCTAGAGATGGGACACAGACACTTCACAGCAGTGTTGTGCAAATCAGGTTTGTGGCAATGCACTCATCTCTCAGTGGGTCATTATGTTGTGATAATGTTGTGTGTGCTAGCCACAAAGACAGGCTGCAGTTAACTTGTTTCAAGCACTATGAAATCTACAGTACCCAGACCTGGGGAGAAAAAAAGAGATTTGGAAAATAATGAGAAATTAAAGGAGAAATTAAAGATTTCTGTTTACTCTCCTGGTTGTGTTCTGCAGGCATTGTAGCAAATGCTTTAAGACAGAGTGATGTCTTTGCCTGTGTTAGTGAGAAGCCCTCCCAAATATGTGGAATAGTGTGAAGGAACAAACTTGAGTTTTTACAGCACTGTGAGCTGATTGCAGCTGGCAATCAGTGTATGCATGCTGGATAGGAAGTTGTAGATTTGAGAATGTGTTGAAGGCCAAACTTCTCTGTGAAGGAGCAAAGACTGGGAGAGATAAAGTCAGTAAAGGGATCTTTGCATCAGCTCCTGAACAAATGGGAGCAGGCTGGCAAGCAGTGCCACATCTTTTTCTCTGTTCTTACGACATAATGTGGGGATAGATAATATCTGCATGATGAGATATTTTCTACTAATAACCATGGTCTAGTCAAGGTGGAAGAAAGTGGAGATACAGCACTGTAGTTATGATCAAAGTCGATGACAGGATTCAGAAAATGCTGTGTGGGTCAAAAAGTGCATTTGCACAGAAGGCAGAATGTTAACCATCAGTACTAAAAAAGATTAGCAGCTCTTTGAGTTGGTATGGAAACTCACCTGGAAGGACCAAGGGAATGTTCCTATTCCTATTAAAGAAAGCCTCAAACAGGCTCTCATCAGCTTTATTCTTTATCAAGCAAGTGCTCTGCTGGGTAGGCTTTCTCTAGAGGAAGGTCAGAGATGAGCTGCATAGGTCAAAAGTGTCTGGAAATGCTACTAATGAGAAGCTGTAAAAAATACAACATGAACTGTTCCTCAAAGTAGAAGTCTGAGTAAAAAATGCACTTCAGGACTGTTTTCATTAGGAGTTACATGGAATTCTTTCAGGAAACCTCCTTCAAACAGCTGTTTATATCACTTCTGTCTCTGGCTAAACATGAGCCATCACATTGCACACCCGAAACTTTTATGGTGGGCTTGATATCAAATTGTCGTACAACTTCCTTCCATCTGCAAACCCAGAAACTTCTTAGGAAGCTCTGAATTAGACACTTCACATGAAAACTTTTGCCTGCCTAGCTAATTGTGTTAGCTGGTCTTGCTTTGTTATTTTGTTTTGGTTTTTTTTGTTTGGTTTTTTCTTTAAATTTAATGCCTATCTGGCTCTATTTCTCAACAACTGAATGAAATATAATAAATGAAGCTATGTATCATTTACTCTAAAAACTAGCATGGAGGAAAACAAGTGTGGGTGTTTTAAGGCCATAGTGGAATTTTCTAAATGCATTGTTTTGGTGATCTGGCACTTCTTCAAGGCAATTCAACCTTAATTTATGTGGTTTTATATATGTGTTTTAAAAAATTATTTCAGACAAAATCAGAACATGGAAAAACAAAATGTTGTACCTGCAGTATCAGATTAGTGTGCAAGTTTGTGTAATTGGACTAGAATATTTTCTCTTACACTTAATTTTGGTTTTATTTTTACAGGAAATAATGAAAAAAGTGTGCCACAACTCTTGATCAGAGACCTGAAGTTTGAGAAGTCATTAACTAAGCTCATGTTTTCTCCTGATCAAGAAAATCATCCATCAAAAGCACCAGTCAAATATGGTGAATTGATTGTATTGGGGTAAGTGTTTGCGTGTAAGAGTCTGAGGATTTTCTGTGCTGTGATTTTGTAGACATGTTTCAATATTGTGTTAATCAATTCTTGGATTTAAATGTGATTAATTGAAACTCTGTAATTAGTAACGCTATACTAATTGAGAATCCTTGGTGCTTAGAATGAAAGTTCTTGTGGGTCCGTATCTCTTGAGAGACTAAATAACACAGGAATGATGGCCTTTGTTCTTTTTCTGTGCTTTTTGATAGGTACAATGGGTCTCTCCCAAATGGAGATAGAGGGAGAAGGAAAAGTAGGTTTGCTTTATTTAAAAGGCCCAAGGCAAATGGGGTGAAACCCAGCACTGTGCACATTGCCTGTACCCCTCAAGCAGCAAAGGTAAGCTCCATTTCTCCCTTCAACTCTGTCTGATTTTTCCTTGTAAAGGAGAAATCTCCTTTCTCCATATAAAGAGCTGCTAGGAAATTATTTAAACAGCATAAATATCTGGCTGTGAAAATAATATTTTGTGTTTATCCAAAGTTTTCTAGTACCTGTCAGGGTTAGCAAGAAACAATGTAACAAAGAAGATTCTGTGTGTAGTCCTTGCCATAGCCAGAAAAAAAAATAGTTTTGAAACATGAATGTTCTGGGCACAGGCTAGTCATCTGTTTTAGATTTTGTAGTCTAAAGCTCACTCTGCTTTAGGACTAACTTTGCTTCACGTGCAGCTGACTTTTAAATGATCCTTGCCAAAGCTCCACGTGCACTTGGTGCTCCATCCAGTGGGTAGGAGTTCCCCAGGGATCAGGGCAGGTGGGTTTGCAGGGTATGTTTCATAGGGCTTGTAATCAGAGCTCCCATTAGGAAGCAGAAAAGGAAGGGCTTAGGCCCTGCAGTTGAACTGTATTTCAACAGTGTATGTCAAAACTAATGCATCATAGCTAAGGTATTACCATGCAATATTGTGGTTATTCAAGTGTGTGTGCAATTGTGTTCAATAACTAATGGAGCATTTCTACTAAAACAGTGGAATTTGAGGATGCTTAGTGGTTGTTTAGAAACTGCCAGTGACAAGATCACAAACACAGTAAAACAAACACTGTTAAGTGTTAAGTGTTTGACAGTGACAAGATCACAAACACAGTAAAACAAACACTGTTAAGTGTTTGAGTCCCAGAATGTCTTGATGCTTAAAGATCTTGACCGTAAATTCAGGGAATGGTATATAAAGTATTCAGAAATCAGAAGCATTTTTCTACCAAAATTCTTGTAGTAGAGCTACATTCATAGCTGATCTATGAAAAGAACATTTAATTTTGCAAATTCTTTATGGTCTGGGAAGTGCTGTTTAGCAGTACTTTTAGAAGTGCTGGTCACTTTCCTAGTATGTAATTGCAGAATCAACATCCAGACTAACAAACTGAAACCTTTGCTACAACTTCTGCAACCTGTGTGGAGTTTCTCCATTTTACCCTATTTACCACCACTTTTTCCATCTATGTGTCTTAAATCAGTCATTACTGATTTTGGTGTTAACTCAAATCCTGTTTTTCAAATGAAATTCCTAAGTTTTTGTCCTCACTTTGCTGTTGGCCAAGTTCCCTCTGAGATGGCCATGAAGGTGTTACATTCAATTTTAGCCTTTGCATTTGGTTGTTTTGTCCTTTTGTGTTCAGGCCAGTGTTGCTTTAACACAAAACATGACTAATAATATGCCCTGGTTATGTTTATTTAGTTGCAGCATGTGGTGAAGAGACCAGTTTGGTCTGTTGCTGAATCAATCCTGCAGCTTTTTTTTTAGTGGCCAGGACTGGGTTTTGTGAAGTTTAACTGCAGGTGTGTCATTAACAACCATCTGCCTTAATGCCTTAATTAGCAGAAGAGTCTGGTGTTATATATATATATATATATATTGTCTGCTTTGCTGCTGTATATTGTAGAATTATTATGGACTGGTTCAATAACATTTGGCATTTTTCCACAGGCAATAAGTAATAAGGACCAACACAGCATATCTTACACTTTGTCTCGGGCTCAAACAGTAGTAGTTGAATATACTCATGACAGCAACACAGATATGTTCCAGGTACGTGAAGTAAATGTGTGTGTTCTCATTTTTGGTAGTTTCAAACAAGGCATCCTCTCAGCAGGCTTTTTCTCTCAGACCCAAAAGTTTGTGTGTCAGTTTCTGCACTCACCATTCAGAGCAATGTAATTCTGTGCATTCCCAAGGCCATCCTGTGAACAAGGCTGTGTGTTTGTACATCTCTTTTAGACTTGGGCAAAGGTGAAAGTTGGGGGGTTTTGTGACTAATGCACAAGATTATGGTTTTACTTTTGCTGGTCTGCAAGTCACATAATCTGTCTCTTAGTCCCTCCTTGCAAAATGAAGAATAAAGGGCACCCTTCTCTTCAAGCACTTAGAACTTTGCTTCTGGCATTTACAAATGGATTTGGGATCAGCCAGTTGGAGACAGGGTAGAAGAAATACAGTATGGAAACACAGGAAAGCTTTTGGCACAACTAATACAAAAAATACTCTGAACTTGTTTAAGCAAACCCAGAAATGTCTAAAGCACTGGGAGATGTGAAGAGAGGAGCCTTCAGTGCAGATGGTGGCAGTTCAAAACAACTTTGCTGCAGTTCCTGTGTGTATGAGAAGGGACCACAAACACATCTGCAGCTGTGGTGTGCCCTCATATCTTTTAATTGTTTCCTGTTTTTCTCAAAAGGAAGGGGTTTGTTTTGGGGTTCTTTTTAATGTGTGCTTTGTTCTCTCTGATTCCCACACTGTGATCTTGCATAGCTTTTTTTTTTTCCCCCCTTGTTGTTGCCACTAGTTTATGGCAAGGAGTTTTGCTGTCACAGCATTTTGCTGTGACGCCACTCAGGATCTAAGGAGGTGGGAGGTGTTGGGAAGTGGTGGAGGAAGCTGCTTTGCAACTGCAAATACAAGAGAGTAAAAGGACTGTAATGAAATCACTGCAGCATAAGCTATTGTTTGTGTGAGTGTTCTCTCTTCAGGCATGCTCTGGCATGTGTGCTGCCCTGAAATTGCCCCTGGCAGTCCCTGTGTACTCATGGGTTATCCTGCCTAAGAAGCAGTAGAAAAATACATTCTGACAAAGCAGTTTTAGTCTCATGAAAGTTCTCCAGTCCTCACCAAAAAGCACCTCAAGCTTTTGGGTCTCTTGCTCAGCAGTTAATCACCTTAATGTAATCACCTATTTTCAAAGAGCCTGAGAGCTCTGGAAATGAGTCAGTAGTAGTGTGTAAGGGGGCTTTAAATCCAGCTATATGGATATTTGGGAAAGAGTTATTACTTTTTCTCTTTGCAAAGAAAAGTACAAGATGAGTTGACTGGAAAAGCAGGGGATACCTATGCAGTTTCATCAAACTCAGTACAGTTGTGTGGGACTGCAAGACTCACAGTTCCCTCCAGCCAGAAAAGGAGGCACAGCTACCAGCAAAACCTGATGGTAGACAGATGTTACATTCTTGTGTTCTGAGTGTGTAAATGTAGCCCCTCTCTGCCACAACAACCTGGTCCCTGGTCTTGCACAAAAGGTTTGCTGCTTCTCAGTGCCCACCAGAACTGAAGAGACAACTCACATAATCTGATACATCTATACCTTGACTTAGTCTGGCACTGTTCAGAATGTTCTGGGCATACAAAGTGACTGCATGTCACTGTTCTTCCCTCTGACTGCTCCTCCCTGGCTGTTTTGGTGTTCTGCAGCTGGTCTGCTTGACCCGAGTGTAACCTTTCTGATGAGAAGGCCTTCAACAGGGAATCATCTCAGAACTGACTTAATTACATCATTTTATTTCTCCTTCCTTCATTTGGCTGTACCCAGCTTTCAGAATAACTTTGATCATTTGGAGACAGAAAAATGCATCAATTCAGATGAGGCTTTAGAAACCTAAATTGATAGACTGGTGGACAGGAATGCATTAAACTGTAATGTCATGATTTTCTTATCATTGCTTTTAATTGCTTTGAATTTGAATAGTCCTAGACCCAAAGACAAACTTCTGACCAGTTGTTTGTGTTTTTTTCCTCAATGCTTTTCCAGATTGGTCGGTCAACAGAGAGTCCTATAGACTTTGTAGTAACAGATACAGTTCCTGGGAGTCAGAGTAATTCAGATACACAGTCTGTGCAGAGCACAATATCAAGGTTTGCTTGCAGAATCATATGTGAACGTAACCCTCCCTTTACAGCAAGAATATATGCTGCAGGATTTGACTCATCAAAAAACATTTTTCTTGGGGTAAGAGAATTCTTTTTCTTTTATCCACTAAAAGTTCGGTGCAGGCTTATTTTTTAAACTAATTCATAGCTCCAGCCAAATTAAAGGTTCTCATTGATGCAATTTATTTTAGGAGAAAGCTGCAAAGTGGAAGACATCAGATGGGCAAATGGATGGACTAACAACAAATGGAGTTCTTGTTATGCATCCTCGTAATGGATTCACAGAAGACTCCAAGCCAGGGGTGTGGAGAGAGATTTCTGTGTGTGGGAATGTGTTCAGCCTTCGTGAAACCAGATCAGCTCAACAGAGGGGAAAAATGGTGAGAGGAGTGACCAGTGTTGTATGCAACCTGTTTAAAATGGTGCAGCCATAAAGGGTAGAGTTTGGGCATAGAGCTGGAATCTGCTGGAATTCCACGTAGTTGTCACCTCTACAATTAGTTACACTGCCTCTTGTGTGTCTGTCTGTGTGCACAAAGGTGTCTTGCTCAACCTGAATAACTGACTGAGTTTATCTGCAAACTTAATTACACATCTAGGCTGCTCTCCTAAACGGAGTTTCCAGTCTACTCAGTATTTCTGCAAGCTCTCCTGCACATTCTACGAGTATTTTCCCAATTCTCCCTTGTGACTTTATGCTTTTCCCACTTTTCCTTTTTTATAGAATAATGAAGAATAGTTATAATTTTATTGGATATTCATTTCCATGTTCACATTCTGCATTTGCCATCTTCCTCTTGTTTCCAAAGCACTGGTGACTTTTCCAGGAGATATTTGGGTTTGATATGATTTGGGATGTCTCAGCAGAAAGAAATGCTACACTGAACATTTTAAGCAGCATATTTAGCTGGGAGTGCTAATGGGAAGAGGGGAAAGTCATGTGTAATGAGGAGTTTTAAGAAAAGTCTAAAATATGATGGAGGACTAAAACAGTCTGGTGATACTCCTTGAGGCATTTCAAGTAACAGAATGCTGTAGGGATGGAATAGAGAGTTGTTAAGATGGGAGAGGAGCTTTTCTTGACTCAACATGGTCTATTTTAATGCACACTTTAATCTCTTAAGATGTTGGGGTGGGGTTTTTCCAAAAAAAGGAGGGCAGAGAGACGCTGATACTGGGCTCTCTATGAGTGTCTTGTGGACACAGTCAGAAGCTGCTTGAAACTTGGATGGATCTTCCAGGCAGATGAGTATTGTGGAAGTGCACGTTGTTACTCTTCAGAGACCCTTAGGTGACGGCTCTCCATGTCTGTGTCCATGTCAAGGTTGAGAACGAGACGAACCAGCTGCAGGACGGCTCCCTGATCGACCTGTGCGGGGCGACGCTGCTGTGGCGCACGGCCGAGGGGCTGGCGCGCACGCCGACCGTCAAGCACCTGGAGGCTCTGAGGCAGGAGATCAACGCGGCCAGGCCCCAGTGCCCCGTGGGCTTCAACACCCTGGCCTTCCCCAGCATGAAGAGAAAAGATGTTGTAGACGAAAAGCAGCCGTGGGTGTACCTGAACTGCGGCCACGTGCACGGCTACCACAACTGGGGGAACAAAGAGGAGAGGGACGGCAAGGACCGCGAGTGCCCCATGTGCCGCTCCGTCGGCCCCTACGTGCCGCTGTGGCTCGGCTGTGAGGCGGGATTTTATGTGGATGCCGGACCTCCGACTCATGCATTCAGCCCGTGTGGACACGTGTGCTCAGAAAAGACAACTGCATATTGGTCCCAAATTCCTCTTCCTCACGGTACTCACACTTTTCACGCAGCCTGTCCCTTCTGTGCGCACCAGCTGGCTGGTGAGCAGGGTTACATCAGGCTCATTTTCCAAGGGCCTCTCGACTAACACAGGTGTTCCCAAGGACTGCAGTAAACTGATAAGCTAAGCGATTCTCATTTTTAAACCAACCGTTTTTCGTATTCTCTGGGCTTTGCTGGTTTGCATTAAGATGAAGAATTCTTTGGTTTTTTTTTTACAACAGCTAAATCCCTCTTTATTGAGAAAAGTCTGGAAATAGAAGAAATGGGGGGAGAAGGGGGAGACCTCCTGCTTTTTTTTGATTAATAACTACTTCTGAAGAGGTGGAGGAAGTGTTGTAGAGTGAACTTCAATGCCTTCAGTTTAATGGTTTTTGAATCACATGTCCACAGTGTTTGAAAGGTGTTTCATTCTTTTTGTATATGGAGGGTAAATAGTTCAAAGAACATTAGTTTACAGCTTGGATGCAAACATTGTAAAATATAACATGTATATTAACTCTTTTCTATTTATCTTTATTATTGAAAATATTTAGAATGTTTAGAGAGTAGCATGGTCATAGTGTGTTACATCCAGCAATTGGATGTGTAGAGTAGTTCTGGATGGAGAAGATCGTGGGATGAAAATGGTAGAAAAATCTTTTAATCTAAAATACTGAGTTCTTAGAATAGTTAAAATGCTTTTTAAACAAAGCTAATGCAAATTATGATGGCATAAAGTTGTGCTTTAATCGTGTTGAAAGGTAGCTGAGAAGGATTTCTTAAATTGTCTGTTTGGTAGGACTGTACTTAAGATCTGGTTATGAGGAGAATATTTACCAGACTCTTCGAATATGCAACTTAGTCTAGATTAAGGATTTTTTTCTCCCTTCACGCTAACACTTCTCTTTATTTAGCATTAGTGACATTTGTGAGGGTTTTTCCAATGTTAAACATGAACAGACCAGAAAGATGAGGCTTGTTCTGTTCCTTGCTGTTTGGGGGTGGGGACAAGGGGAGAGGTGGATGCGCCTGGGCACGTGTGTGGGGAGCAGTTCGTGCCTTGGCCACAGCCCCAGCCTGAGAGGGGTTTGTCAGCTGGATGCTCAGCCTTCCACCTGCTGACTGGTGGGGGCCTCAGGCCTGGCCTTTGCCAGGTGCAGGTGCTCATCCGGGCCGCAGGTGGAACAGAGGAGGAGCCTGGCAGCTGGGGGACGTGTCCCTGCATCCTCGGGCAGCTGGGCACAGCTGGCAGCCTGCTGGGAGAGCTGGGGCTGGGCTGGGCTCAGGCCCTCAGTGGAGGTGCTGCTGTGGGCTCTGCTTACTCTGGTCTCTGCTCTCCTCTTCCTCCCCCTCCTTCCCCTCTGGATCCACCAGAAAACACCAGTGTACTACATGCAGCTCTGCTGCCAGCCCACTGTGCTTCATGGCAACCTGACCTTTTTACCATTGATTTGAGCTTTTTTGGCCAGCTTCGTACATTTTTTTAAAAAATATGTACTGTATAATTGACAGTAAGAAAATTTCTGTACTTTATAGCAAAGCTTTAGCTTTCATTTTTCTTTTGAAGCTGTTCTAAAATTTTCTTTGTTTAAAGAGATCTGTGTTGCTTAGATGTCATGAATTACTTACTTTGACTGTCAATTATTTCTCCATTTTTAAAAAGAAATTATATATATTGTTTGGTTCACTCAGGAAATGCATGTGTCAGGAAACCTGTACTATAAGTTCAGTTAGCTGTCATGTACAAGTAACTGCTGTTACTCCCTTTCCATAGAAATATAACTGATTTTGACATTTTCCAGATTATATGCATTAAGTAATGAAACTTATGCAGCAAGAAATCCCTGTATTGTAGTTGTTCTAATCATCTTATTCAAACTATAGTATACTGTAGTTTTAATTTTTATTTGCAAATTAATTTATTTAAACTACGTGAGTAAACACTTTTCAAAAACAGAAATTCTGGGATTGTGGCTTTGTTTCCAAGAGATGGGAAAGGGCTGTGGATGGCTCCTCTGTTCTGGGACACCTCAGGAGTGCCTCTGTTCTGCACATATGGATTAAGAGCACAGAGAAGCAGCAGCTGTAAAGACTTTGGACGTTTTCCCTGGTAATGGCTTGGAATGGCTCCTTTCAGATGTGTCCTCTCAATGTGTTTTATATTTAACTCTGTGTTAAAGGTGAGATTGCTGTTTAAATGACACAGTTAAATGAGTAAGTTACGAATACTGAAATGCAAAAACTGAACTAAATTTTAAAATGACAAGAGTTCTTGATTCTGTCTTCCACAAAATCTAATTGACATGTCTCTGGACATGATCTTGTTGACTACAGGAACATGAAAAACCAGAAAAGAACATGATGAAAGCTACAAAGCAGTATGAGTAACACAGAGCTGAACTGTGAGCACAGATGGAGCACGGGATGGTAGGAGGAGTATGGGAAGTGGTGGTGGAGGCCCAGCTGGAGGCTGATGCAGAGCCAGGGGTGCAGCTGGGTACATGCACACCTAACTGCAGAGGGGGGAAGAAGACAGGGTCATGCCCAACATAGGCAGCCCTTGTTAAAGCCCTACCCCTAAATTTAAATGATAAATTGTGCTTACACTGTACTTCTCTACCCCACTCCTCACCCTCACCAAAAACACAAGGTGTCTGAGCTGGCTGTGTCTCTTGGGAGTGTTAGGCTAAGGTCACTCTTCAGTCTGCCCCACATTTTGCCTCTTTTGTACTTTTCTTCACCCAGATTTGGCTTGTTTAATCCCATTTTTAGAAGGGTCAAACATGGGCATTCAGACACTTGACACAGGGAAATCCCATAGCAGTGGTTGAGTAGTTTGAGGAGCAAGTTCCATCACCAACAACAGCATCTCTAACTCTGGTACCCTGTTTGAGTTCCCCCAGAATTCTGGTCTTTGATAAACGACTGCAATAGTCCTCTGTAAATGGTAAAGTGAATTTCACATTAAAAGTACTCAGATTACTGAAGCACTCTGAACTTTAAGGCAAATCCTTTTGAACAAATTTTGATGCTGCAAGAGTTGGCACCTTGCTGGCTTTAAGAAAATCACAGCTCCACTTGTGACAGCCTAAAGCAGCCCCTTGCAGCTGCAAAGGCCAGCCCAGGTGAGATCTGTGGCCTTCACCTGCTTTTAAAGATCTCCTGGACTGGCAAGAAGCATTTGGTGATGCAAGCAGCAGATGGGACAGGACTGTTCCTTGGGATACCACTGCAGGTATAAGGAACTGACAAGGGACTGAATGGGAAAATGACATTGAGTGTAGGTACTGTTCTAGCCTTAAAAGTTCAGTGAAGCTCTGCAGAAGTGCCTTTGGAAATGAGCAGCCAGTGTTCTGGTTTGTGTGTGGCTGCCCTGATCTGGGCAGTGCAATGTGTAAAGCAGGTGATTTAATGAACTAATTTGCTTTTCAGCTGTAGGAGATTGCATGGATTTAACACTGCCAGAAAGCAGCAGCTGGCTAATAAAGCCCTTTTGTTTTTTGGGGGTTTTTTTGGGGGGTGGTTTTTTTTTGTTTTTGTTTTTTTGTTTGTTGTTTGTTTGTTTTGTTTTTTCCCCAAAACAGAAGTGGGGCAGCACAAGGTGCTGGCAGGGGCATAGACAGGGAGGTTGCTGTGGCTTTCCTGGGGAGAACAGCGTGCTCTGGTTTCTTTGCTGACTTGCCCACTGGGTTGGAGCAGCCCCACGAGTGCCTGGTGTGGCCCTGAGCAGTGTGGAGCAGGCTGGGGATGAGCCTTCCCATCCCAGCTGTGCTGGACTTGTTTCACCTGCAGGAATGAGCTTGGACTTCTGGAAGGTTTAACATGAAGTCACCTCAGGAGACTCCTGTGATGGAAGGTGCTCTGCAAATCCCATAATGATCCTGCCATGACGTGCTTGATCTGCTTCTGAAGTGACACTTTCCAGGCTCAATTCTAAAAATACATTTCCAGTTTTGCAGTATAAATCTGCCCTGATGCATGCTGTCTTTCTGCCTGGATTAGGCCAGGTTGCTGTTGAATTAGACCAGATTTTGTGGTTCTTGTCTTGGCTCATCCCTTTCTGTAAAAACACTGGTAGAGCTTGTCTATTTTTAATTGTAACACTTGGCTTTAACATAAGGGCTGTGATCATCCTAGAAATGCAGTTTCTAAGGCATTCTGTGACTGTAGCAGATCACTTGTACCCGCACTGTTGTGCCTACTGTAAAGAAGATCTGGAAAGGCATCTCTGCAGGAGCTGTGATGGTTCCTGTGACTTGGACCAGGCACTCCTTGGCAAGTGTGGCCGCTGAAGGGGCAGCAGCAGTCCTGCCCCTTCCCAGGTGCTGCTTTCAGGGCAGCAGCAGGAGCTCAGGCTCCTGTTTCCTCGTGGAGAACAGCTCTACATCACTGTGCTGTTGGGAGGCAGTATCCTCCTCCTGTATTCCAGTGGGGAAACACCAATGGGTGCTACTGCAGCAGGAGCAGCCAGCTCCTTCAGCTCTGCTGGTTCTTGGTCTGGTTCCATCTCTGAAAGCAAAAGGGGACAGATTTAAAGAGCAGAAGAAATGGGCTTTTATTCCCTCAAGCCTCAGGTGCCTCTGTGGGAGCAGCCATGCCAAACCCAGCCTCTGGGAGCTGCAGCAGGGTCGGTGGCCTCAGGCACACTGAGGCTGGGATCAGTGCAGCCTTAGGGCATGGCATTAGCTGTAAACCCCAGTGCCCTGAATCTTTATGCTCCTGCCTTGGATCCCCCTGAGGTGCTGCTGCCCATCCTCCCTGTGCCTCCCAGCCCTGGCAATACAGCCCATTCCACAGTCACAGTGAGCAGGTGCCACAGAAGCAGGTCCTGTTTGCCTTGCCCAGCACAACCCTTGTGGGATCAGGAATGCATTGCCTGGGGCTGCATTCCTCGAGGCTAAGCTCCAGGGAAGATGAGTAACCAGAGGCAAAGTGCCAGCTCTGGCAGTCAGGAGCTCCCTGCCCACTCCCTGCCACTCTTGGGTATGCTGCTATTGTGTCCAGCTCCCAGTCCTTGTCCTACTGCTCCTCTTGCAGGGCTGGCAGGAGGGGATGGGAACCAGCACCAACATCGCTGTTTGCAGGCTGTGGTCTTTGCCTGGCTCTGCTGGTGAGGACATGTTTGTGACAGCAGTGAAGCACCAGCAAATCCTGGCTTCTGCCAGCCCTGCAGAGAGCCCATTGCTCCAGTGCAGGGGGCCGAGACATTTCATGGGAGTATGAATGACCTCAAGATCAACTCAAAGAAGGACTTTCCTGCTGCAAAGGCAACTTCTCTGCAATTTGGCAATACCTGCAATACTGTAATGTTTTTATTTTGATTTAGGGTCACTAAACAGCTCTGAGGCAGGAGTAAATTATTAATCTGCTCTGACTTCCTTCCTCTACCTTGTCTGCATCTGTAGTACCAGTTCTATGCTGAGATTGCCATTGGAGATCTGCTGCCTCCAGAAAAACATTGGGAGTGGAGTTCTTTGGAGTTTGAACACATGCCAGAATGGTCTGTTTTTCCTTTTTGTAGTAGAAAGGTCTCCTGAAAAGGCTTCCCCTCTTCCAGCCCTGGCATGGCACATGGACTTCTGAGGATTCACAGAACATGAGCAGCACAGAGAGAGAAAGGAGGACATGATAGTTCATGTTGTTCAGTCAGATTTAAGTGTGGTTAAATACAGTCAAACCAGTGGGAAAACTTCTTTATGTCTGTTTTCTTTGCTGCTCGCTCCCAAGATTAACTGTCTGCTTATTTATACAATTGTCTTGACCCTTATATTTGTTTCTCCTTCAACATCCCCCAAAGAAAAAAAATTAAATTCACTTTTCTCTGCAAATATTTTATCTGAAAGTTTCTACATCATGTTTGCTGTGATCATGCCTTTCCTTAAGTGATTCTATTAAAATATATGAATTTTAATACACTGAATCATGTTGGCTGGACCCAGGCCCTGCAAAATGTAATTTGAGGGTTTTTTTGGTCACCCAGTTTTCAGCTTAGATTGGGTTTCCCTTCAGTCTGTCCTGGAAAACAAGCTGGTCAAGGATGAGGGAAGAGCAATGGCTTTCCTAGGCTCTTGGGAAACAGCTCACAAAAGTTGAGTCTTGTGTAAAGCCTGTCTCGTAGTCTGAAGGGATCCACTTCTTTCCCTGAATCATGCTCAGATTCCAAGTGCCTCCCACTTCCCAGTTCTTTGTAAAATAACTTTTTAATATCATCTTACAGTTGGGATCTACCCATCATTCCCTTTGGTTGGCTGCAGTTTAGGAACTGGATGAGCATGAAGCCTTCAGTGCTTCCATTTCTACTTCTTTCCAAAATAATATTTTTAGCTGATCCCAGAAGATTTGAAACAAAACAAATGCATGCAGCGATATTCTAAACTTGCCTGGATGCAAAGCTAAAAACTGCAGCTTGCTGTCATGTGCTTGATGAAAGGAATTGAGTCAACTCATCCTTTCCAAAAATCCCATGCTTGCTTTTTTCTTTTTTTTTTCTGTTGTGTGGGAGGAAGAGAGAATTAGTTATTCAGTGGAATGAGGACAATTAAAAGCAAATGCAGCTTCCAGCGATGCCATCATCTGTTCAGTTTGCCCTGAGCAACACAGAGGCAGCCTGGCTTCTTCATTGGCCCCTTTCCCTTCTGTCCTGTACTTCACATTGGCACAGGAGCTGGCAGTTTCCAAAGTCTCCGTAGGACTGTGGTGCAGGTGTGCCCATTCTAGCCTTGCCTGGACAATGCCCTGAATGTCACCTCAGAGGGGCTGGAAGGCTCTGAACTGCCATGGAGTGAGGGGTCGTGATTGAGGCAGCTCTCCTGCCCAGCTTGCCTTTCCCTGGAGTGTTGCTCTGTAGCGGGGACATGTCCATGGATCCCAGCCCAGGATGGAGCTGTGGTGTCACCTTTGACCATTGCCTGAGATGGGTCACAGGGATATGGGCTTTTCCACAGCCTGTGGTCACAGTGGCCACCAGGACACAGCTGGGCCCAGGCTCTGCACAGCAAAGCTGTTGAAGTAGCTTGCTTCACTTTTGAAGGGGAGCTAAAGCAAGCAGCAGGCCTTTAAACACCACCTAACCACCCAGGGCATGGATGTTTAATGCTTTTTCACTTATTCACATTAAAAATGGATCCAGAGCAGCTTTCCTGAGGAGGCAGGATCAGCAGTGCCAATGACCTCAGCTCCACCATCGCTCCAGGGGCTTTCAGTGTTACTCAGCGATTTTTGCCAGCGTCACTCGTTATCACTTGGAAATCTCACTCCACC